CGGCGAGGTGGTCACACAGATTCACGCCACCTCCGTCTTCAGCTTGGAGAGAAAGGCGAGGAGGTAAGACCGGGATCCCACGTGAATGTGCGTGTTTTTCTGGGAGTGAAGAGGTCCAGACACGTGCTCCATCCTCACGGGGGCACAGCCAGAACGAGGCCGCAAGTGCGGGGGACCCAGCATCTGACCAAGGAAACCAGGCTGCGAGGGCCTCTCCCAGCCAAGACCTTACATGTTCTGTAAACTCCTGACACAAGGAGTAGCCTCACGCCTGCAGCTCCGGAAGACGGCTCCTCTCTGCCCAGGACTGAGTGAACAGGGCTCAGACCTGAGGCTGGTGGGTGTGAAACAGCCCGTGTTGAAGAGGGGACGTATTTACATGTTGTTTGTTTGGTTTTTTTTCATAATTTTAAAATGTTATAGTTTCTCTAGCAAATAAAATAGAAAAATATGTGACTTGACTAACCAGATAATTCAATAAAATAAATAAATAGATTATGCATAACTGTGGAGAGGCGTGCAAGGAATCACTCTCTGGGGCTGAAGGAATTAGTCTGCATCCAGCCCACAGCCTTCAATCTTTTCATTATGACACAGAGTTTCCTACCTAATAAGCAAAAAAAATTATTTAAAACCAGCAGCCCAGAAGGAGGTCTATTTAACCCACCAGCAATCGCAGAACCCCTCTGTCCCTCCCTGTCTTGGACAGCTCTTTTTCCTGATTTTTCATACCTGTTGTCCAAAGCACTTCAGTAAAGAAGTACCTCAGAGTGCAGTTGTCACAGCACAGAGAGCACGTTTTAGTCTCCAAGACACTCAGCAGCAGCAGAACCAAACAGCATCCCCTCCCACCCCCACCAAACAGGCTGCTCGCTGAGGTGCTGACGTCTGCAGCTCAGTATTTCAGCATTTTCCCACTTTACTGCCTCAAGGGCTTATTAGCATTAACATCCCGTTGGTTCCTGAAGGAAGTGCCTAGACGCAGAGCACTCGCTCCTCTGGCAAGCCGACTCCTGCGTTCTCACCCCACGCCAGCTGGGGTTCCCGATTAGAGCCTCCCCTTTGAGAGCACTGGTTTTTATCATCACAAACAAATGGATGCAACTGCTTCTTCCGAGAGTGACAAGTTTTCGACCTTCTCAGCAGAAAGAGCAGAGCACTGGCAATACCAGTAGGTGACCTCTGCAGGGCACACAGAAAGATCATGAAAGAAGGAAAACCAACGCTGGCAACCTTGAAAGTGGGTGTGTACAGGAGGAGAGACTGGAGGACGACAATGGTGAAACCCAAGGTGACACAGGGTCCCCTGCTCCCAGGACAAACACCAAAGTTCGAAATGAAGCCAATAACCAAGCATCCACATCTATGAAGGTGCTTGAGTAACGACGAGAACTGGAAATGATCTTGATACGACCAGGCTTTGAACTGGTGAGTCAGCCCATACACACGACATCAAAACCAAGATTATCCAATACATTCTCTTTGCAATTCAGAAGAATGGTACAGCTCATCCGATAAATCACTGCTTTAAAAAAAAAATCAGTTCTAAAAAAAGGGACAACCCATCTGAAAAAGGCTGGGAGGAGGAAGGCAAGACGTGACTCATAACGTCCAACAGCACAAGAGTATAAAGCCCGCGGGCCCAGCATGAAGCCAAACAGTCGCCGTCACAGCTGTGACCTCGCAACACTGGAGCCGAGCGAGACTTCAGCACCACACACGCCTCGTGTGCACCGGGAACAATCTTACACGTCAGAGCCTTTAATGTGTATGTGTTTCCCTCCGTAGTTTCCTGACTCAATTTGACATCTATATTTATTCATCGAGAAAAGATCATTCAAGTCTTGCTATTTTCATAACTGAAAAACTGTTAAAATTCAGGTCCACACATTCAAATCCCACACACATCCATGCTGCCATTTTGCAGATTTTTTAATACAGGTAACAATCGTCCAGGTCTATCAAGCCAAGTACTCCACTCCACTCACCACAATACCTACAGCGACGTGGGACAGCGCTGGGGCGGACGCCACAGGGTAAAGAGGTTTTGCTGACAACAGGGAGGTCCGGTTCCAGGTGGAGAGGCTCAGATATTATTCCCTGAATCTGCTGACCCCTTCAGCTTCCCCTCCCAATTACAACAAATTATCAGTGCGACTGTGGAAGAAAACACTTTTTCACATATTTGTTTTCCAGAGTCCACTTCCTCCCTGCAGTGAGGAGAGTGTGTGGGTTGTGTTAGAGACGGCGGGTCTCCTCTTGCCAACCCTGGAAGGTGGTCCCAGGCTCTGCGGCTGCAGGGACCTCCAAGAAAAGCACAGGGGCTGCGGGGACACAATGCAAGTTCTGGAGCTACGTGCACCTGCTACCTGAAAATTCCACCCCTCCCAAATCTACACACCTTCCAACTGGCCATCTCTCAGGTTTTACTCTGGTGACGGTTATGCCAGCTGCGTGTGAACTGCTCAGCCGCAATTGAAGAAATTATTGGTTCCTTGAGCAGCACTAAGAACTGATATTTAAGTTAGCATCTACCTCCTTCCTTGGGCAGCTTCACACTCACTAGAAAATGTTAATCTGGACGCGATTACGGAACATAGCTAATACCTGCAGTCATTTGGTACGTTGCAGGCTAACTCCTGTGAGCAAAAGGCCGGTACTCAGTAGTCACGCGGACAACTAAAAAGCCACAAAGTGTAAAGCTAACAGACTTCTGCAAACACCAAACAGCTTTCCCAGGCCAGATCACAAGGCAATTTCTCTACGTTCTACCAAAATAGGAACGTAACCACTCCCAAGAGAGCAGGGTGTGAGCTTCTGGAGTGCAAGTCCAGTGTGTGCACTGCCTGGGATGCAAGGCATTGGTTAACAGAAATTATTGCTGAATTTCAATCAACAACTCAATTTTTTCTTTTCTTTTTTTTAACAACTGATTTTTTTTAGTAAGACATGAGTCTGTCTCTATTGAGAACTTTTCTGTTTCCTCATTGCTTTGCTGGCATTTCCATTTAAAGTTTTTCCTCCAGCCAAGTAATGTTTATTCACGTATTCATGAAACTACTTTGGGGCCCTCCTAAAGTCAAATAGAAAACTGCAGGATTCCAAAAGGCAAGAATGTAGGGAAAGGAAGAAGAAACTGATTCAGGGGAAAGTGTGTGGAGAAACCGCTCCCCCCGGCACGTAGCAGCCCTGCTCCCTGGTGTGGAGGCCCCTCCGTCTCACGTTCCATCCCAAGGAGTCACCAGAGCGACAACCCCTGGCCCCACACCAACCGCGTCACCCAGACACGCGGCCTGGAGGCTGTCAGTGCCCCACCTCCCACTCTTTGCTGGCATCGTGGTTCTGCAGGGACAGGGAAGTACTGGTTATAAACAGACAAGTGGAGAGAAGAGGCAGCCACCAGCCAGGCAACACAGTGGAAACCTGAGTTCTGCAGCCAAGAAGTCAATCTGCAATCCTGACCAAACAGAGACCCGTAAAATGGAGCAACGTTAGTGTCTGCAACAGCCCCGGCAGACAGTGCAACCAAAACTGCTCCAGTGCCTTCAAATCTAGATAATACACCACCATTAAGCACTGGCAGACCACAGAGGAACTTGGAGAGAAAAGACTACTCTGTTTTTTCAACCTACCTTATGTGCTTAAAATGGAATTGTTTTTCCATCCTCCTCTGTAGGAACTGAGCACTGGCAAGTCCACCCATGTTTCCACGATACTTTCTGACATTTTAATAAAATGATGAGGACTAGTGTAAAGAATTATCTCCACCTGAACCTTGACTGAAGGGAAAATATGAAAGCAACACACTTAAATAACTTGGAATTAAAAGTTGTTTGAACTTTTCGGTTTGAAAGTTGGTATGTTGGGGGATTTTTTTTAAGTCCCAAAATGTAAAGAGACAAGATTTCTGATCCAACCATTTTTTGGTTTCTATTAAGCAATACTGGAAAACAAGTTGATTCACCTAACTTAAGCCAGTAAAACTACTTTATGTGGTCACAAGACACAAAATTCCAAATGACCTTAAAGAGAAACCCAATCGACTCAGCACGGACAAAGCAAGTCAAAGAAGACACAGCTAATGGGCGAGCCCTCTGACTCTTACTCTGCTGCGTTCCGACAGGCCTGGCAAGGTTGAGAGAGAGAGAGAAAAACAAGAATGCGCTTCCCGCATGCAAACACATACCTCTTTCCCTGCCCAGACACTCAACAAGAAAGGCATTAAGCCCTTTTTAAAAACCTATAGGGACAAAGGTGTTTGCAGAGATCTGGGTGGAGCACATCGTGGTCTAAAGCGGTTTGCCATCCTCTAAGCAACAGGCACACATTCCAGGAGCGACTGATGGTGACAGGTGAGTGCCACCTAGCAGGTGAGCGTGCCTAAGTCCATGTTCACGAGTGGCCACTCCCACCAGGGGCCAGGAACTGCCCAGATGCACAGAAGCAACAGTGAGCCCATCCCAGGCTGAGGGGGAAGTGGGCTCAGAGGGCCCCTCACTTTGCTAACACAGACGAGCGCTGACACTCAACATTAGAGTAACAAAGAGGTAGCAGAGTGCTTGTTCTGAGATGATGCGTGAATGATGAGGAGCTGTAAATAATACAACAGTGGTGCAGAGCTACAAGGAGCTGTGAGGTGAAGGGAAACCATCTGAACATCGACAAAATCAGAGAACTTGGGCAAACGTGTTCTGATGGAGACTTCATCCTTCCCAGCAACCTGTCCACGCGGCACACTCACGCACAGGTGTAGACCTGAGTACTGCCCCCAGCAGAGCACAGCACTCTCGTTCTCAAGCCTGCAGAACAGTGTCTGCTGAGCACAGAGCCCAACAGACAGTCCCCTCCTGGGGGACTGCTGGACATTACAGAACGCTGTGGAGCCCACATGTGAGGCAGAAGCATCTCTCCCGTCTCTGGACGTCTGAAAAGGCACCCCAGGCCAGGCTCCCACCTGCACCCCCTCTTCACCCTGAAAGTGTTAAGGAAAACAAACTTACGGTCAGCAGCAGCTCCTCCCTGCTGATGAAAACTGGCACGAGCGAATCCACTTTCTGGCTGCCAGCCCCGCAAACCGTTACACACACACACACACACACACACACACACACACATACACAAGTCACCACTAAACTGCTCCAAATAGAAATCCGAGAGCGCCGGCCCATCCCCACCCCCACAGCGTATGAGTGGCCTTCCCAGGGTGAGCCGGGGGAATTCTCAATCCATATTAAACATTCAACATTTCGGAACTTTAGTGGCTATTTTTTTTAGGACGTAGCAAAACCCGATCTAAAACTTATGACAGTCGAGCACATGATTCCACCATTAAGAGCAAATAGGAAACCGTAGATAACACCCCATGAAATCACTGTGGCAAATCTGTCACAAATCTAAGTACGAGCCGATGGGAACCCGCACGAGCCCGGCCTGAGGGAGGAGGCTCTCCGTTTCAGCAGCCTTCACGTCCCAGCCCACAGGAACAAAGGTAGCTCTATCCCCGTCCAGCCAGGACGGGCCTCGGACCCCGGCGAGCAAGCCCTCAAGTCCAACGACAAGTTTCGCATT